TTTGTGTGTGTGTGTGTGGTTGGGGGGGGCGCCAGAGGGAGTGTTCGCCCAGGGCGCCAAACAGGCTAGGACCGCCACTGCTCGGGACGGAGCTGTTTTATTTGATTCTTGTCTAATAAAAAAAATATGTGTCTGTCAGGTTACAATAGGTGTGCGTGTTTTGTGAAGAGATGACAAATGTTATCATTTCTGTGTAAAGCACATTTCAAAAATAAATAAAGTAAGCGTCAAGCAGCAGCAGGACCTCACAAGCAGCCCACTGGACCGAATGTCTTCTTTTAAACCCGGGTTCATGTTGGGGACCAGGAGGAAGGAAGCCCAACAAATGCGCGTGCTGCTCACCTGTGCATGACGTAGTGCCACATGAAGAAGAGCATGTCAAAGAGCAGCAGGCATGCCACCACCTCCACGCAGAGCTGCCAGCAGCTGGGGGCCACATCAGGTAACTTGAGGTTTATCAGGGTGTTGAAGAGCGCAGTGACGGGCAGGACCACGGTCACGTATTTATACAAAACCCTGCAGAAACACTCTAACCATCGGCTCAGTGACGGCGGCGGACCCGAGCCCGCGGTCATCCTCCATGACCGAACCCGCAGACAGACGCTCCCCAGCGCATCCAGCGTGAGGAAAGGTGCGCAGAGCAGCACGTGCGCCAGGAACGCAAAAGACGCGGGCAGGTACGGTGAGCGGAGCACGTCCTCCTGTCCGCTCTTCACATACTCCCAAAGCCCCTGGAGGACAGGCGCCTGTGCCTCTCCATACTCAGTGCAGGGTACGACCATCACGACCTTCTAACCATAGACTCGTCCCCTACATCCTCTCATGTGTGCGGCCGTTTTGACCAGATGCTCTAAAAAGATCTGTATCCTCCCTTAAATGTTTTTCTTCCCGGAGAAGTAACGTACAGCTGCTCCACAGAGAGAGACACGATGCTGTGGGTGGAGCTTCGTTTCTTGTGAAAAGGTGAAGTAAATCCTCAGATTTCAGTGCTGGGATTAAAGGGGAATTCTGAGACAGGACTGTCACTTTTTCTTTTTTTCCCCAGCCATCCAGACATCCGATGACGCCCGCTGCGGTGGCTTCACTGTGCGCAAATGGCTCTCAGAGTTTATAAATGTGCACCGACAGGAATAAAAACGATCCTCGGGATTTATTTTCTTGTTTTTCCTTTTTTCATACCTGCCTTCTGAAGAGCGTGTTCTCGTTACGCATATTTAGACTTGAGGTGCTTTATGTAA